ATTTGTAGGTATATATATATAGATATAATTATTTGAATTTACAATTTTCCGTTACATTTTCATTTGTAAATAAAATATACCTAACATAATTATAAACCGTTCAATTAGCCCACTATATAAGTATTTGTAAATCTTTGCATGCAGATAACTATAAATAAAAACAATAAAAATGTAAATAAAAAACAAAAGACAGCAAAGTCCGCATTAATATTACCTAGTTTAAAATCTACTAACCCCTCGACAACGGCTCACATCTTATCCGTTCGATTAGATGACATTTATGCATCTTCAATGTTGGCATCACGGATCACCGGAAAATTAGAAGAGGAGAGTAAGAGAGACAGAGGAAGAAAAAGGAGAGAGAGAGAGAGGGGAGATGATGAAGGAGTTTTGCTAAAGCCGGCAGAAAGTAGTAGCATAGAGGTATCTCTAAGACTAGAAGGTCCCGAAGAAACGTGCTCAACTTTTTAGCTCAGCTCTGGTACTATCTTCGGTCCCGAGCTAAGCGATTCACCCTCGAAACATAGGAAAATCCAATAACCCCTCATTTTATCTGTCAAACTTTCATAGCGAATCAAAGCAAACATTGTGTAGTACTAGAATTTTGACTAGAATGGGTAACGTTAATCATTTGCTTGGGACCAATAGGCTAGTCAAGTAGTGAGCCAATTTAAAATCGTTAGTTTCGTATTGATTGTTGGTAGAGTTTGGATCGAAAATATATAAAGAAAAACAAAGCCCGAAAGAGAAGTAGAAAAGTGGTTCGAGGATAGTGCTTGTCCACCTGAGGCCGAAAAGACATTATTGGAAAGACCGAAGCCTGGGTTCAATTCCTCCCGCAGAGACCTCCGACGAGTGTTGGCCTTGGAGAAGCCGTGTGGAAAGTGGTACCAAGGAGAACCCCACATAGAAATACCCGCAAACGCAGACGGTGACCGGAGTTCCCACGTGGGCTCTATTTTCGATCCAGCAAGAAGTGAGTTGGGGATCGACGAGTCCCGCGTTGGTATCTAGCTAGTATCCACCATTGCTACGACACACGCAACGGGCGAGCAGTAGCCAAAGCTGTGGTGGTGAGGGCCTGGTAATGTCTGGCGGGTCCGCTCCCGATTGCCAGTGCCCAAAATCTAAGGTGCTACTGCCACGTCTGCGTGCGCGTGGAACGTCGGTTATTCAAACCCTACCTTGTCGGAGCATTTGAAAGGTACGCCGAGCTACGGATCTACGCAATGACCTCGGCAACATATGGGTGGATTTAAACTAGCATCCAGTTCCCCCATGGATACCAGGATCATGGGTGCCGATTGGAGTAGCTGACCACCCTATCATCAGAGGTAACCAAGCTACAAAATCCTTTTCTCTCTCCCTCTACGCATGGGCCCCACCGTTTCCTGATTGGCCACAACGATACCCCCCCCCTCCCCTTTATGATGTATCTTTTAAATCCAGAATTATATTATGAATTAGCTTATTTACTGTGTTTGTGCGTTTTTTTCTTGAGAGACTATCTTGGTGTCCTGTATTGTTCCGCCTATTATTCTCGTGTTGAAAACAAACCCATTGAGCTAGTTGTTAATAACAGGGTTTCCTTGTAGGTTTTGAGCACTCGACAAACTGTTGTTTTCGGTATCTTCAGCACATTAGCCAGCTTGGAACCGGACCGCTCCGGATTTTCCAAGTGTTTGTGCACAGTTCCATTTAACGTTATTTCTGAACGCGATCGACTACTTTGATCAAACTTGCTCCATAGTTGTTCTCTATAGAAGTGTAAACAAACCACTGTCAAAGATTGTCGATTCCCAACACTAAAGGCGTGCTAGCGGCGTACCAATTTACTTTTAGTCAGCCTTCAATCAAAAATGACATGAGAATTCTAAAACCAGTTCAATTGTAGTCATTTAGTGTGCCCAGGACCACACATGCCATATCTACCGAATGCGTGATAATGTTTGCACCATTGAGCAATGGCAAAATTAAAAAAAATCTCAACAATTTCTTTTTCGAGTTTTTTTTTATTTATTCAAAGGGGGATGTTTCTCAGAGTCTTAAACTATGTTAATCGTCGATCGAGTTTCCACTTGCTGCAATTACGGCCTCCACACGCTTTCGGAATGCACGGCAGGTTCTAATAATGTAGTCTGGATTCACTTCTCTCCAGGTACGAGTCAATGTTTGTCTGCGGCTTGCTGTACTCGGGTGGAGTTTAGAACAGGCCTTGGCCTTCATGACGCGCCATATTGAGTAATCCAGCGGATTAAGATCGGGGTTGGATGGCGGCCACATATCCTTCGCCCAGAACGGAAGATGTTCATGTAACCACTTCTGAGTGCGGTTCGAAGTGTGGCACGGAGTTGTCCTTTCTTTTCTCGGTCTAAAACCCTTTTGACGGTCCACCGGGACACTCCCACGGCGATTGAAATGTCTTTTTGCGACATTTCAGTGCCAACATTTCAAAGGGGCGTAATTGCTTTTGTAAACAATGGCTTTAGCTATCGATTTCTCGCAAATAAAAGTCCATCCCTCCAAATTAACAATGCTAGCTGGTAAAGGAAACATTCCTCTACCTGCTGGTGTCATTAATCTTCATGAGTAAGTTTTAATTCACGAGAAATCGACGGCTAAAGTCATTGTTTACAAATGCAGTTACGCCCCTTTGAAATGTTGACACTGATTTGCGCGTTTGACAAATCACGAATACGCTGACACTTCGTCATGATGCAACTATCAAACTAAGTAAATCATTTTCTTTTATACACAGCCTACTACAGTATGAACTATAGGTTACGTGCATGCAAAGAAAACCAAGGCATTGTATGCACAGGTGAAACTGGAACCTTATTTGTACGATGGTGTAAACATTATCACGCATACGGTATACATGTTCCGGGCAAGTGGCCAGTTTCTGACTAGGGTCCAAAAATCCATCAAGCGATACCTTAAATCACATGAGAATTCATCTATCACCTCACATCATATGAACATTTTTGTCGGAGTTTCTATTAGAAAGAATGATCAGATCCCACCATAGGTGGATTAATTCAGGTTTTTATCGGCACTGACCATTACATCTGTTACCTCAAGGTGTGGTGAATCTTCTTTCGATAGTTTCCGATTTCTGATGCCTGTTTTGTCGGAACATCTATAGACCGTCATTCAATGCATTGCGGGCAGAAGAGTTAGAAAGATATGCAAATAGGTCCGTCTATATAAATACCTAAATCGATGTTGTATACAGAAACATATTTTTCAGATTAAAGTTAGCCATTTTTTTTAGTGTTTGACTTATTACCGAGCCTCCGGTATTTTGGTAATGGAATTTACCGGTATTACCGATTTTAGGTAATGGTATTACCGGTAATGAAACCCCTAGTTTAAATATTACGTTTCCATAGCTGCCCACTGGGAACTCTTCAAGCAAGGTAAGGAACAGTCTAACAACGAAGCATTTGACGAAAGATAACTGATTATGTTCACGGCGAATGAGAACGACCCAAATTTGAATTTAGTTCACTCATAATCGCCAAAAGTGCAGGAACTCAGCGATGAGTAAATTTGCCTCATGTTTTCCCAGGTTTTTCCAGGATTTTCCTGGGAAAAATTCCCGAATTTGAGAAAAGTAAAGATTGGATTCACTCAGTCTATTCGTACTACTCCGAGACTGAATAAAATTTTCGTCGATTTCCTCATTTTCCGGTCGATTTTTTAGGTTTTCCACAGGAAACCATGAGACAAATTTTACTCATCGCTGAGTTCCTGCACTTTTGGCGATTATGAGTGAACTAAACTCAAATTTGGGTCGTTCTAATTCGCCGTGTTCCAGAGCTTGAATAAGGGATAGAAATGCTTACGCTAAAAGTACGTTCAGACTACAGAGTTATAACATGTTATAGCGCTATCTTGATGGTGGTTTCTGTGTTGCAATTATTTGACAACCGTTATGACATGTTATAACTCTTCAGTGTGGACAGCGTTTAACACAGTCCATGTTCTACTCACCAAGGTATGATAAGTTTGTAAGTTTATTCCACTTAATTAAAAGCGTACACAGCAAAAAAATAATTTTGATATCACATCAAATGGGATGCACTTTAATCGTGTCAAATATATGGTGTAATATTACTTGCCAAAAAGGACAAAATTATCATTAATATAGTGCATGAACTTACATTACGCTGCTTTTACTGCATTTGTTTATTTTAGTGGCCATAAAAATTACATGAGATTTTCGGCATAAAATTTATTTTTGCTGTGTCATTTTTTCTAATATTTGCAGTAAGGGTTTGATTTGAGCAACACACGATTTTTGACTTTTTAACTTTCCAAAAAACCTGACCAAACCTGATTATCTGATCACAATTATCCGGAAAGTCTAACAAAATATTAAATTGAGTTTGAGGCTTCCCTGTTCAGAGCAGACGTGTTACCAAAATCGGACCCACACTGTAGGCATTGCAATAATGACAAAATGCATATCAATTAAACAGCTCTCAAGCCGGCAACATCGGAAAACCACGTGAGACATAGAGAAAGAGAAAGAGAGCGCAAACAAGCATTAGAGAGAACTTCTTCTGAGTTGCTCATGTAGTTAGGAATCATCATTCCTCCCACTTGTAGACCCTCTGTAGTTAACTAAATGAAGAAACACACAGGAGGGCATAGAGTGATGACGACGAAGTAGGGAAAAGTCTCCACACAGGCGAGGGAAGCGCAGCGGTCATACAACAATACCATCATCAGCAACAAAAGATGATGGCGGTGCGGTGCGGCGTGGTGCGATGTGATCGCGTGGTGACGGCGTCGTGCAACGATCATCACCACGCGGCTACCGCGCGCTCTTGAAGCTCTTGTAGTCGGCCTAGCTCTAGCCGTGTCGCGACCGTCCGATCGGGTAGGGGTGGGATAGCGAGCGTTTTGCGAGAAAAGCGGAAATTTTTATAAAGGTACCCGCTCCGAGCGGGACTCGTTTATTCCGGCTGGCGATTTCGTGGCGTTCGGGTTGAACCCTTTTTCCCTTGTACCTATTATCTTTTGGTTTTGTTCAGGAGCGGTGATAAGTTGCGGTGGTCGTGCAAGTGTAATTAAGGTGGTGAAAACGAAAAATTTGGCAGCGAAGAATTGACAACACCCGGAAGAGAAGTGAAAGTGACCGGGTGGGAACGCTTAAGAACTATTCCGGGAAGATTTTGGACTATGACCGGTTGTGGCAAGTTTCAGTGATTCCGAAGAAACAAGAACAGTTTAAACGGGTTTGTGAATTTGGCGAAACATTTGCAGCAGCAGCAACAGCAGTAGCAGCAGCAGTAGCAGTGGATAATAGTTTTAAATTTGCCGAAAACAGTTACAACTTTATCTTATTGCGGTAAGTACCCAGCAGCAATTGATATAATTAACCGCGTTGATTAGCGATAGTGCAGTTTATTTGCAATTCAATCGATTAGTCTGAGTTCAAACAATCCGTCGGGCAACCTAAACGGTTGTTCTACTTTGAATATAAGCGATGGTTTGTTCGGCCAGTTGGAACTGAAAAGGCAGGCAATTTGGCAATGGTCAGCATAAAAAAAAGTTCGCGATCAGGTACAATGTGAGTTTTTTTTTATATATTGTGTGAGTTCTGAATTCTGCCACTGTTTATTAATCGTCGGTTGGTTCTGGGTCACTGCACAGTGGACCAGGGTGAGAATTTAGTCAAAATAGTAGTTCTAGAGCTTTTGCAGTCATATTTAGACGTTTGGTGTCTTTGGTGAAGTATTTTGTCCTTTAAAGGTCTCTTATTTTGCTGGGTGGCGCTCAAAATAATTAATATTCAAAAACTAACTTTTTTTTTTAAATAAACCTAAGTACTTAAGGGGGTTAGGATTTTGATAAGGCTTTAGTGGGAATGACACTGATCAACACTGCACATTGTAGTCGAAATACGTATCTGTTATGGATAACAAAATTAAATAAGTGGAATTAAATGAAAGATAACCTTTTTTGCTGTTTTATTTAAAGCATTCCGCTAACAACCCAATTTCATTGCTTCATAAATTTTTTAGTTTTGATAATAAAGTCATATGTTGTTCAGCCTTGTTATAGCGGAGTTGGTTTCAAGCAACTTTGTGGAAGAAACCTTTTTTCTTTATCATAACGTTCTCATTTTAAAGAATTTTTTTCAGAATAGAATTAGGATAGTTTTTACGCTCGACATTTTGTGATTCAAATTTCTCGTGAAAATAATTTCTAAAAAACTTTTAATAATTGTTGAAATACACATTTTTGCTGAATAAAGCAAATGGATATCTCTGAAAGATGCTATCAACGATTTTCTCTATTGCGAGACTTCAACTCGTGACTTTGGCGTGGGAAGTATGGATGTTAACCACTACGCCGGGGTTGCCCCATTATTTTGAAATGTGAATAACTCACCACGAAGCAAAAACACACAAGATGTTATCATTGGAAAGGGCACAATTTTAAATACATTATACGGTGGTATGATGGTTACTTGGGCCCCTAGGTCAATTGCGAACAATTATTCGAAAATGAGAATGAAAGTTGCTTAACACCTGAAAGTCTGTATTTTATAAAGCAAATCGTTAATATCACGTGATATGAATTAACTTTATTCGAAAAAAAAAATGTATATTTTAACAAGTCCTAACAGTTTCTTGAAGATGATTTTCACGATAAATAAAAAAGAACTGATTTAGAGCTAACAAACTAATTTTTTCAGGTACTCTCAATTCTGTTTTTACACGATTCATTTTATTTGCAATTGTGCCCTGATCTTTGTTTAATATTTTGAAACCAGTTGCATTAAATTTGGTTGCAAATTGAGAAAACACGATTAAAAATAGAGACGAAAAAAATCGCGTACAACCAGGTTTGAGTGTACACACTAATTCAATTCTGTAAAATTAGAAAAAAATCTTTCACTAAGTCGCGTGGAATTAACTCAGAAACAACTTTGCTCAACAAGATAGGGGAAATGGCTCTAATGTTGTCCTATGGATGCCCATCGCTAAAAACCTGCTATTTATCAATTTAATCTAGATGAATGCGTCATTAGGACGGTAATAATGGATATTTTTAGTCATTATTGAAAATTTAGTCGATTGTTGAAATTATGTATGGGCCCAAATTAAAGGCATTTAGGCTGACATTACATCCATTTCTCCTACAAAGGGAAAATGGCTCTAAAGTTGGTCTATGGATCTAAATATTAAGCCCATCGAAAACAATTTTTTTTTCGTTGAAAAATGCGACATCTGGACAATACAAATGGATATGTTTGGTTGCTTGTGAAACATTATCAAAAAATGCTTTCGTTCGAAATTTATGTATGGGCCTAATATTAGGGACACTTAGGCCGACATAAGGGACATTAAATCTGTGTATTTATTTTCATAAATAAAAAAGATAGTTGTTGAATTTCAATTATTTTGAGGGCCACCCTAATGTTTACAACCACAAAAAGAAGTGACACCGAAGGTCTAAATATGAGAACAAAAACTCTAGGACTACTATTCCGGCTAAATTCCCATCCTGGACTGGTATGCGTTGATGATCTACATTTTCATACTGTGGAGAATTTCTCATGTGCCCTCTGTCTGCAGTGAGTACTTTTGCTTGTGTGTACAATCATTATCGATGGTCACATATTGTTTTGAAATTCAACCGGTAAACAGAACCTTAATATGGTGCAGTTCGCACTTCAAAACTGTCGACTCAGCTGTAGATCATGTGTACACCTTACCATATGTGCGATGGTTCATTTTCGAGTAATTCACTTCTGGTGTAACAATCCAACTAGCTGTTGCGTTACGTTAATGAGAAAAAAATGTACTTACTATAATTGTTTGAACGCGAACTTTTGGAAATGCTGGCGCAAGATGGAAGTATGTATAGGTGGCCGAGTACTCGCAGTCTGCTGGTGTTGGTTAGTTATTAGCCGATAATAGTCGAAAAAAGTTCATTATTTTGTAATAATCATTTCCAAAACAACCAAAAATTTCTACGGATTTTAACAGGTTTGGACCTGTTTCATATGATCGTAAGGTGTATGCTGGTCATAAATTACTTGTCAAATTGATTTCCTACGCAAGTAATCAACCTTTGATGTGAATTTTTCGAATAAGCACGAGGAGCATTGCGTAAAAGCGATACTTTATAACAGTTGTTTTTACAGATCATCGCTCATGCTTGATTTGAATTTCTATTTGTTGTTAAATGCATGGCCGTTGATACTAACTCCAAATCGAGTTACTGAATTAATTTGGTTACTCAAAAATAGCGGAAACTTAGCAAGCGTTTCTTACACAATGAGTAGGTACTGCGAAGTCAATCGATTTTATTTTACAAGCAATTATTTAGCATTTGCTTGAAAATTTTCTCAAGTGCAATTTCTAAGTTGATTCCCACCAAATATTCTAAGCCAGGAGTGCTCGAGCCCCCATGATTCTAATCAAGTTTGTTTACGTTTCGTGTCGCCAACGTATGTTTTATTGTGATTGAAAACCCAGCTGAGTCGTAAAAACTGTGCTGGTTTATATTCTCTCGGCAGCTCCCTCACCTGCACCCTACCGGGCGACCTATCATCAACTCATTAACCGGGGACCAACGACTTGCTTTACTTCCATGTGATAAGAGATTGTATGTCTCAGGAAATCCCGATGGCACCGACCAGGATTGAACCCAGGCCCTTGGGAGTGAGAGGCTATCACGCTTACCACTACACCACCGGCGCCGCTTGTTGAATTCTGCTTTTGAGCTTACAATTAAAAATATGTTACGAACAAGAATGGTTGACTTCTATCAGATAACAATATTTGGCAATGGATAAGAAGAGTAACTACTTTTGTAGCTTTTGAATGTTTCCGGGACGGGACGGTATCGAGCTTCTCACTCTTCTTAATGTTTTTAAGGAAGGCCCTTCGGAAAGTTGTGCGTGGTGTTTGACGGAGTTGACAAATGATGCCAGAAATGTAAAATATTTTCTCTATTTTAATTTGGATTTTATTTGGAGTTTCTACCGCATTTTAGAAGCTTGTGCATTATTTTTTCTCAACACAATAAAAACAACCCTAAACAAACAACAATATCCATCGCTTAAAACACGCAATGCACTCAATTTTTTAACTTTCCTTTCGCAAATATAAACAATTATCAACGCCATTGACGTCAACATTGATTCCGGCATCACTGCCAGCCAGATTGATGCGTTCCCTCTGTCCTTTTTATTTATCAAAAGCTGGCTCGGATTTGTCAGCAAATTGGATCGATTGTCAAGACCCGTCCCAGGTCAGTTTGACATTTCACTCTGGTGCCCAGTTGACAGCACATTGAGTGAGTCCACTGAACACAGGTAAAACCACGCGGGACCGAAACCAGTACACCTAAGAATTCCGTCCTTTTACACACTCAGAATTTATTTTCGAATTAGAAATCTCAAAACCTGAACGATCGGTAAAACTAATAAAACAAAAAATTTAAACACGTTCAATCTTGTTCAAATTATCAAATATTGTAATTGAAGTGAAGGTTTTGTTTTACTGTAGCTTTAAGACAATTAAATAGAATTGCCAAAATTTTAGCGAACAGTTGAGGTTTCGGTAAAAATTACCGAAGTCGGTGATAATTTCTGAGTGTGTAATAGAGTATATATTAGGGTGGTTGAACATGATATTTTTTTCAAAACAATGTTTTTCTGGTTCCATTTGGGGTCCCAAAAAACTGTGCAACATTCGGGTCGATTGGTTGTAACCCGGCTTACCGCATTTTGCTTGAAATTGGTATGGAAATTAGTATGGGAAAACCGACTTTTTTGCAATTTTATTCCTAGGTACCACAATTAACCACTTCATTCGAGCAGTTAAAATGACGTTTTATGCCACTTGAACTTTGAAATACAACATTATTTTGAGATTTTTTCTTCTAGAACCACGAGAAAAGTAGCCGAAATTTGTGCGTTTCATAAAAAATATAAATTAGTTGGTCCAGTTTTGTGAAATCGCTGGTAGAAAGTCACGCCAAAACTGCTTGACAAAGTGGTCAATTTTTAGCTTAAACCATTGATCTAATCATGTCAAAGTATAGTACAGAACCACATTGCCAAAGGATGTACGTGCTAGAATGCTTTAAAAAACAAGTTATAGCTTAGTTGAAGATGCTAAGATTCCTTCAGATTCCTTCAGATAACAACTTGAGTGCGGTAAAAATCGATAGAACTGTTTCAAACACCCCGAACCATCCCTCTCTAACGGGGGAGTTTGGTAAAGAGAGATGATCAAACCGATTTGTACCTTCCTAAAAAGTTGTCCTTGCTCGCTTTCTACTCTCTATATACAATTTTCACACTGCCGTACTCTAACGGAACTATCA